CGCTACAACTGCAACTACCACTACATTGCACTACACGACACTACGCTACAACTACAACTACAGTACTTTACACTACAATACACTAGACTACACTACACTATACGACGCTACAGTACACAACACTACAGTACACTACAATACACTATACTAATTTACACCACACCACAACTACAACTGCAACTGCAACTACGCTACACTAATTACACCACATTACAACTACAACTTAAAACTACAACTCCACTACACTACAGCTACAACTACACCTACAACTACGACTACAACTGCACTACACCACACTACATTCAGCAGTTGTGGTGAGATGACCACTGCAACCATTGCAGCCACTCCAGAAAACACAACTCCAACCACCTGTCGGTCCATCAGTGGATTCGCTCAGCCATCCGTGATTCACAACAACCAATCTCTCCTTTAGGTTTCCCATTTTTGAAACTTCCGCCACCGCCTTGTGCGGTACTACTGGTATAGTTGTAAAATATGACAAAGTCAAATAGATCCTATTGAGTCAGTATATCCCATGAAGATCCCATTGACAATTCCATGAGTTCATATGGTTCCATGCTGTTTTTTCCATAAAAGCAGCCAGTATATTCCCATGAATTCACCACGTGCTGTTATTTGCACCAACCAAGCAACCTGAGTTGTCACTGCCGCCCAACTCCACCAGGAGGTGGACAATCTGCTACAGCCGGAGTCCATGTGTGGTCCAACCGCCAAAAAGGCGAGATTCGAGAAGTAAAGCCCTGGAGAATTTCCCTGATCCTCGTTTTTTCCCATGTTTCTCGCTAGAAAACATAAGAAAAAATCTCATCACCAGCACAAATATGGATGAATTTATCAAACAACTTATACTGGATGGATTATAACCATAATATTGTTTGGTGTTTCTGAGTTTGGCAAACATATGGCTATGGATTATACAAAATGCCATGATGGGAATAAACATCCATAACTACCAACGATTTGGTTTGAAGGGCACTGGGGTTTTGACTCATACTCAGATGGGTGCGTCTGAAAATGGCGGAGACTCCACAAAATGGCATTTATAACAAATTAAATGATGATCAATTCATATATTTTCAGCAAGACCCATTCAGATATCAAACAATTTCCATAAAATTCTACATGCAAACATATGCAACTTGCACTTTTAAACAATGTCAACCAACCATATAAATTACAATCTCACACGCACACGCACACACACATACATATATATATATATACACAGTATATGCCTACATGATATTCCCTCGACTTCACAACTTGGAAAAACACAGGACTTGAGTCAAGAACATGTATTGTTTGCAAATATTGCGATATCCGATTGATATAAGCAATCACACCTATCCATAACTGCCATAAACTTTGATCTTTGAATAGCTTAGGTCAGCTTTGGGATCAAACATCTTCCAGAATGCGGCCTGTTGTGCAGTGCGTCAACTCTGGTTCCCCCTGTGGAGGCCTTTTAAGTGCCACCAGGGATTGCAAACCACGTGCTGCGCGATTCGACGTGCGTTTCGCTTTCAGGTTGAGAGTTTAATCCAAAAACCGAACGGATTCGAATGGTTGGTTGCCCGGTGCTTGAAATCAAACAATCAACCTGAATGGTTTTACTGGAGATTTTGGGCATGCTGCACAGCGGCGTGCATTCGCCCGCAATGTCCCCTTTGTTTGTCTCTTTCAACTCCCTACACGAATCAATGACACTGCATTGCATGAGCTTCAATCAATGACATGATATCTAGTCACATGCAATGTAATCTGGCAACGGAAGCTTCCCAGAACTTCCGTTTTTGAATACGGCATGTGTTTTTATTTTCCATGTCCTGTTTGATTGGGCCTTGCGTACTAGATAAGATACACAACAACTTAAGTGTGGCGTCCCATGAGTTTTACAATGATTTTAAAGGTGCCTTGGGCGATACGTCAACATACAAGGTGGTTCCTATGCAAGCTACTTTCTAGCGCTACAACTATGGCATAGTGTGTGATGGATGCAACTATCGTTAGATTAGATAGGTTTGTAAACAAACTTGTAACTAGGTAACTGGGGATTCCCACTGTACACAAGAGTACACATGAATGTACATATATAGTCTAGTATTCAAAACACATATCAATGAATTAGGGTAAATCATGGTAGATGTCCAGCACTGTGGAACATTTGGATACATATGATGATGCACCGAATGATCTGGAGCTCTTCTCAATGATAAAGATCAACATTGATCACAGTTCCACCTTGGTTCCACCATTGACATTTGATAAGAGTTCTTAATTGATCCAATTGTATTGACTACAAGTTTACTGATGGTTGTATATAAATTATATACGTATATGTTTATGTATATATATATATATACATGATATAAATTACATACATATATATAGATACATACAGATACATGATATATACATGATATATACATTTACATATATATATATTAATATACATATATATATATATATACATGATATATACATGTGATATAAATGATATATGTATTTTTATACATTATATATATACATATACATGATAAGAGTTCTTAATTGATCCAATTGTATTGATTACAAGATATATATATGATATACAATTCTTATACGTATATGTTTCTATATATATATTTATATATATACATGATATATAAATTACATTTACATATATATACATTATATATGTTTATATATATATATACATATGTTTACTGATGGTTGTATATAAATTACTTTACTGATATGTATGTATATATATATATGTATATACATATATTTTGAACAATAAGCTCTGGTGGAACTGTAGAAGACCACAGTTCCCCCTATCTTTTGCTGGGTGTTTTGTGGCTGCCCAAATTTCCCTCCCTGGTTACTGCCCTGGCACGGACTGGGCCCACTGCAACAGTGGCGATCCCAAGACTCAAGACATGTCATGGAACGAGATTCGGTCAGAACTTGAAAGCTCTTGGAATCCACAATTTGAGTTAGTTTTCGCATGGCATAGTCACATATTTATATATATATATATTTAATATACATGTTATTTATTTATTTGTTTATTTATTTAATTAATTATTTGTTTATTTATTTATCAGAGACCATGTACATATTATTTACATACATTACATTAAATTCCATTGCGTATGGATGCGTATCCATATCCGTGCTTATGCGAATTATCGTTAGATCTTTATATGATATCTCCAAATTGAAGCATACCCAAGTTTGATTTGCATTCATCACCATGGAGTTGTCAAGTTCTTCGGACGCTTTTGATGTGAGACAAAAAATGACGACCAAACTGCGAGGTTACGAGGTCAGGTTAGTAAAACGGTTGAGTGAAGTGTTCTTTGGCCTGGAAGTAGCACCTTAATTTCACACTGAATCCATGTTGCCTCCAAAATGTCCTTGATTCCTCCCCAAAAAAACAACACATTTCAAAACAAACAAATCAACAAACATGCAAAACATTCCAACAAATCCAACATTTTGTTTGAACAGATGTTGAAAATTCACCAAAACATTCTACAATTAATTCTATATTTCCAAAACGTGCTGGTATTGGAATGAATTATTGTGAATGCGTGAGATCTTTTTTGAATCTTGGGAGAACCCCGCAAGCATATCCCAAGAGTATCCCTTGAAAAAATATCCCTATCCTATCCTATCCTATCCTCGCAAAAGAAATTAGAGGATTTTTGGTATTTATACAGGATTTCATTGAAAAATATGAGCGGACATTTGTGGAGCCTGGACACAATCATTGTCTTTATATATATATACATATATATATATGCATAACAAGGTGGCTAGACCGGCTAAGACTCGGAGCAAAAAATAGGTCCACCTGAACCTGACCCCCCAACAAAAAGAAATAAATGGCTTGTTCGGGACATGGTTTGGGTGCCCTGCCACGGCCGCGGCAAATAGACTGTGAACAACTGGACAAAATTGGTCTGCGGTGCGGTTTTGTGCTGTTTCTATTCAAAGCACGGTACGACGGATAGATGAATCGATGGAATCACTGAAATGAAAGTCGATCTTGGAAAGAAATTGGGGACAAAGCTCTGAGTCATTGAAGTGTTCATGTGATTTGTTCATTCCGATTTTGTGTGCACTGAGTTCATGGTCTTTGAGATGGCTGTGAACCGCCATCATCATCATCATCATCATCATCATCATCATCATCAACCAATGATATCTCGATATATTTCCATTTTTTGATGATTAAGAATCCACAAGTGCCCAAAAAAAACTCGAATTAGTGTCCAGGGTGAAGTCCCGCAAACTTTTCACCTTTGGATTGGGGTAACGGTACTGTATATAATCAGGATAAACCTTTGGTCATGTGATAGTAATTAATGGGATTTTTTTGGGGAGATACAGTGGAATTTAAATGAGATTGAATCGGATTTCCAGCCCTTCAACTAACAAAGACACTGCCAAATAGAGGGGTAGAAGATGTTCGAAGGCTAAATTCCTCTCAGCATGTGTTATTCTCAGGGTAGGGTATCTACGTTCTTATTTTTTCATGCCTTCATGGCATTTCGTTGCTGGGATATCCTGCCATTCTAGGGCAAAGGTTTCAGTGGCCGTGAATTCTGAAGGACCCTTATGAGTTATGAGTTCTTAATTCCTGAACATGTTCTTATCAGTTTCTTAATTTCTTTGGGGAGAGAGCATTAGAACCAAGCGCGAAGACAAAGGGTTCTCAGTAACGGACTCGTGGAAGGTCTTGAAATTCAACGATGCATTGGACGTCTAAGTTTAAGGCAAGTTCCGAATGGACGTATACCCATGCAAGCAGGGGGTTCACAATGGTCTACATATGTGCTTTGGTTTTCTCCTTAGTAGTTCTTTTCACTTTTTTACAGGAGGTTGTTTATCATCGGACCCTGATACAGTTTCAACCAGGACGAGAGCAGCAAGAGCTCTTTCATCATACGGCAACGGAGGTTTGTGAAGACACACGAAAACTCTGGTAT